AACTCTGGGAGATGTGCTATCTGCGTGTGTGTGAGAGGGCCTGTCAGTCTGCGGCACAGGGACAGGTATGGCTGGAATTTGAGGGCCTGGTATTCTTACGTCACTTCATTTCAATTTGTGACGCGTCGCTCTGATAAGCCAAGTCCTTAGAGAGGCTCCGTCCACTTCCCTGCTGTTCCTGTGGGTCGGTGCACAAGACTGTGGAGGTACCTTGAATTCTCCGTGAGGTTCCCTTCACAGTGCTGGGCGTGGCTGTCCGCGGTCCGGTTCTGTAGGGCCACGGTCCAGCGGGTCTCTTTAAATCAGGCCTGTCCAGACCAGGAGTACGAGCAGCACCTGAAATCCCTTCCGGGCTTCAGCTGGAAAGCGGAGCTGATCCGAGAGTTTGATGATTCCATTTTTGTGCTGGGATAAAATGTAGAACACAATCCTGAATCCAGATGTTTAGGCCGCTACCGATTCGGGGACACATTGGATCGTGAGCCTCCAGGACGAAGATGGAGGACTCCTAGCTCAAGGCCCTGAAGGCACCAAGTGGAGATGTGAAGGAAGCTGTGCTCAGACCTCGGCAGGGCCTAGCCAGTTGATGCAGCAATTCCTCTGCCTGCGGACTGCAAGAAGGAGCAGTCCTCTGTGTGCTTGACTGATCCTGAAGAGGGCCCGACGAGTTGGACGAGTGGTTCAGCCCCACAGACCGCGGCTGCTCTCTTCTGCTTCTGGGCGTTGGGAAGATTCTCACCCCCCCCCCTCTGCAGATGAGCTCATCCTCCCCAAAAAAGCTCCTGACTCAGTGGTCAGACCCTGCAGCTCTGACCTCATGATGGTTTCTGAGCTGTACGGGATGTTGATGACTAAGAATGGGGGAAGGAGATGTCGTGGTGGGGGGGGTTAGTTAGGTCAGAGGTCAGTGGTGATAATTTGTTGCTGACTGGGGGGGCATCTGTGGTGAAGTGGAGGGTGCCACACCCAGAACTGCCTGACTGGTTACAGACAGGAGTGGATGATAAGACCTTCAAGTTTGCTTGGTGTTCTCTGCAGTCAGCAGACAAATCGCCCCTCCCCCAGGGAAGAGTAAAAACTCTGTATTTTGAAATCGTCTTTATCACTGAATCTTGCTGAGCAATATCCCAAACCAGACTTTCACAATGCCCGTTTTTCTACATTTACCTTTCAATGAAAGGAAAGTATTGGCACGCAACTTGGGTTTAAACGTGGAAATGTATTTTGAAGGTGCAGAACACCGGACGTATACCTGCTTTTAACATTTGTTTTAACCCTGAACAAGAATTGTTGAGAACACAGAAACTGCATCTTAATGGAGGATTGTGAAGACCAGCTGTGTCTTTACAGCTCCACACAGGGCTCAGTGAATAAACGCCTACTCGACCTGTGACCTGCTCTTTGAAGAGCTGGCTGGCTGGCTCCTGTCCTGCTGGTGCCACATTAGTGAAGCGCTGCTGGGAATTGGGCCTGTCCGCCTCCCTCAGTTCCCACAGAGACACATCTCCGGGCGTCGTCTCCAGTCAGGAGTAGCCCAGCACTTTATTTAACGGAACTCCCTGCAGGACAAAACATTCCGGCTCGGCACAACTCGTGGGAGTTGAGCTTTTTATATCTCGACTGCCGACGGTTTTAATTCCCTGGCTTCGGCTGCATGATCTTTAAAAAGCCCTTTTGTGTTGTCTTTATTTTTATACTGTGCTTGCCTTTGTTTATTTTTAGCTGTTCTACATGGTTACGCGGAAAAGGCGCTATACAACCTAACTTGTTAGAAAGCCAGCGCCTTTTAATTACCCTCCCGAAACTCAGATCCACACAGGATAGTTTGTTGGGGTTTTTTTTTTTACTTCTGCTCTGAAACAAGCCCACTCTCCTTCATTACGTTCCGCCCAGAGATCCCGGGCCACCTCTGGGGCCCCGTTGCGAGACTCGGCTTTTTAATGCAATTTATTTTGCAGTTTATTTTGCCTTTTCTCTCCTCTTTGGACGCTCCATGGTAACGCTTCAGCCTTTTTGCGTGCATAAAGACAGCATAAAGGGAGCAGGAAGGCGATGGCTCGTTGCTTTGGGGAAACGCAGAGTAGCGTGCATGGGCCTTCCTGGCGATGCCGTTTCCTCTGTGCGAAGACTGTGAAGCGGGGGCGCGGGCGTGTTGCTTGGGGCGCCTGGGTGTGTCACAGGCGTTGGCAGTGTTGTTGTCCCGTCCCCCCCCCCCCAATCCCTCTCTTTAAACACTGCAGTTAATGAGCTGGAGAGAGCAACACTGGCCTCCTGACAAGTCAAATAAGAGGGGGGGGGGGAGAGCTGGAGTTTGCTACAGCTCCCAGGACTAGCGAGCACTATGAGGGAGGCCGTCCTGTCCGTGTGGGCACAGCTGCGCTGCCCGTCTCTGCCCATCCTGGCTGATTTGCTGCCCTCCAGCTAGGGCTGCAGGCTGGCCAGGGGCGAAGGGTTCTCGCCGGGTGTGTCTCGGATCTCTCCGAGATCTCTCCTCCAGATTGACACGGGATCCCCCTGTAAACGCCTCCTCCTTCAGCCCCAGTCGTCGTGTGAGCTGTCAACCGGGTTTCGGCTTGCGGTGCTTTTCGTGCCGTTGCTGGAGACGCGTCGGACTTCACCCTCGCGGAAAGCGGAAGGTCCTCGTCAACACTACAGGGCCTGGCGCGAACACGTCGGACGCTTGGCCTGGTTCGGAACCAAGCCCCGCTTTTTCCCCACCTGAAGCGGCTCTTGACATAGTGCGGGCGTTAATCTGGAGTCCAAAATGACGCAGGGCGGTGTTTTGTTGGTTCGTTTTGCAGTGAGAAAACTGATGATTTGTACACAGGAGTCAGGAAATTCGTTGAAGATAAGAGGTGTCTAATAATACCCCCACACCGGAGACTAATAAGTGAAATACCTCTTGTGCCTGGCCGTGCCTGCGCCCCGGAGTTCGGCTCCGGTCTTTCCCTTTGTCTGAGGAGCCCGAGGCTCCGCCGTCCGGTGGGGGCCGGTGTCAAATCGCGTCACGGGGCCGGGTCCGCTTGAGCTAACCCCTCTGTCTCTCCCCTGCCGCGATGGAGCAGATCCTGGCCAACCTGGTGATGGAGAGCCTGCACCCGGAGCTGCGCGGCCTCATCGGCCCCCGGCTGAAGGGCAAGGTGCAGGAGAGGCAGCGGAACTGGATGCTGGTGAGTCGGGCCGTGGGTCCCCGGGTGGAGCCGCCGCCGGCTCAGAGAGCGTCCTCCCTGGGTCTCGGATCCCCCCCCGAGGTCCATCCTTCAGATTCACACGGGATCTTCCTGTAAATGACCCCTCCTTCAGCCCCGGTTATCCTTTGTGTGAGCTGTCAACCGGGTTCGGCTTTCGGTGCTTTTTGTGTTGTTGCTGGAGACAGACTTCACCGTGACTTTGTTTATGCTGAGATCTGCGCCGAACCTCAACAAAACAATATCAGTGGACCGTTTTGGTTGTTTTTTTTTGCCGAGTCTCCCCCTTGAAAACCACAGTAGGATCCCCTCTGGAAAAGAGCTCAATTGGATGCGTTAAACCTTTCTCCACAGGCGTATCTGCTAATTATTTCAAAGGACCCCCGGGGTCCTGCTTTTCTCGGACTGTGTCCCATGCGACCCCCGCTGACCCCGCCCCTCTCCCCCCGGCAGATCTCCGACGCCGTGTTCTCGATGGTGCTGAGCCAGACCCGGGTTCAGCACGAGGCTGTGGTTCAGCGCTGCGAGGCAGGGCGCCCCCCGCTGGAGGCCTCCATCCGCACGGACATGGACCAGATCATCACCTCCAAGGAGCACGTCACCGGGAAGATCCGGGGTGAGACGGCGCCCCCTGGTGTCCCCCTTCTGCTACTGCCCGACGGGAATTCTAACAACGCAGTTCTCTCATTCTAACAAAGTGCCTGTCAGGTTGGAAAAAGAAATATTCCGTTGCGGGACCAGCTTCCTCCCCAGGTTTTTTAATTTTTTCCCCGTTCTGCGGACTCCTTTCCCGCTGGGCCGCTCCCCAACCTCGGAGCGTTGCTGGAAAACGAGCAACGGGTGTGGGCTTGTCAGGAATGTCCTTGCCTGCTGCTTGGGGAGGGTTTGGTTTGCAGTGCTGGAATGGTTAGAGGTTGTTTTTTTTACCCCCACCCGTTATGAATAGGCGCACTCGCAGGACAAATGCGGAAGAACCAGATTCCAGGGATTCTGCCCCTGGGCAGACTCCGGCGCTGCCGATACCACATCCCGAGACACGGCCACCCACGCCCTGACGAGCCCGACAGGGCCTGGTCTGATGACCTCGGAGGAAATAACTGGTGCCCCCTTATTCCTCTGTCATTTGCATCTGGGCTCGCCAGCCTTTTTTTTAGTGCTCATCTCATCTAATTAGACGATAATATCTAAAGACCTGAAACAAGCCGATCTGGCCCGTTTGGTACTTGGTTCCTAATTGATCTAATGATCTCATCCAGTTTTTTCAAAGGAAGCCAGGGTATCGGCTTCAACAGCCTGGCTGTGAAGCCTGTTCCCCCCCTCCCGCCACCCTTCCTGTATAGTACTGCCTCCCCATCCTGTCCCGTTTCACGCTGCCCGCATGGCGGTTTAAGGGCAGCAGGCTTGAAGTGTAGCTCTGTTGCTGCGATGGCTTGATCGCTAGCGATCGCAGGTGAGGTGGTGTCGATCATTATCCAGCAACATCCGTTTGTACTTAGATCTGCAGGCTGAATGTAAACAAAAAACACCGTCATTGAACTATTTTTTTGTTGGGAGGTCCTCCAGCTGATCTGGGCCGGGTCTGTCTCCTGGGGTCACCTGGACCGTAACTGTCAACTGGGCCGGGTCTGTCGCCTGGTCTCACCTAGCCTCGGTCAGGGCAGGATCTCGTACAGATCCCGAGCAACTTTTGACCCGCAGCTGGACGGAGCAGGTTTTGCGTCGCTGCGGCTGTGTGGCGCGGGCGGGGTTAACGGCGCAGGGTCTGGCGTGTCTCACGCCGGCCGCGGCCTCCTCTGTGTCCCGGCAGCGCTGGTGCTGCCCAAGGCGGAGCAGTTAATGAAGCGGAACGTCGAGCCCTACATCAGCTCCATCCTGGAGGCCCTGATGGAGCCCACCAGCCGCGGCTTCGCTGAGGTGCGGGACGTCTTCTTCCGGGAGCTCGTGGACATGAGCAAGAACGTGGTCAACGAGGGCGGCCGTGAGAAGCTGGGCGAGGTGAGGAGGGAGGGGCGGGGCGTCTGCCTCTGGTTCACGGGGTCCCACAGCAGAGTGCACGCAGGAATGGGGCACGTTGGTAGCTGGAGAGCAGGCCAGGTGCCCTTGCTTCTTGATCGGGAGGGTGTGGCCGGGGTCTCGTGAGGTCAGGCTCTCTCCCCAGCCTGCAGTGCAGGGCTGAGCCTGGCTCCATGGCCACTGTTGAATGAAAGCAGCACTTTGCTCGCAAGGAAACCTGGTTCACCTGGGGTCGCCTGGGCCGGGAATGGTCACCTGGCTCACCTGGAGTCGCCTGGGCCGGGAATGGTCACCTGGCTCACCTGGGGTTGCCTGGGCCGGGAATGGTCACCTGGGGTCACTGGGGTTATGATGGTCACCTGGCTCACCTGGTGCCACCTGATTCACTCTGTCACCTGGGCTGGGTCTGTCGCTCAGGTATGTGTTCTCAAACCCTGGCCGGCCCTGCCCCAAGTCACCCTGGTCTCCCTCTCTCTCTCTCCCCCCCCATGCAGCACATGGACAAGGTCTCCATGCTGGCCTACCACCCGGTGAAGATGAACGGCTGCTACAGCAAGGTGGAGGAGCTGCACCTGGAGGGCCTGCAGCAGCGCTTCGGCGTGTCCAGCCCCTCCGTCTTCGTGCAGAGGGCGCAGATCCTCATGAGGGAGGTCAGCACAGCCCCACCTGCTGGCCACTGGCGCACGGGCGCAGCCCAGCGAGTGTCGCCAGTAACTAGCGAGAAATAATATCGGCGCTTAATAGTGGGTTAATACACCAGTTGAAAATGGCCACAGTCAGGCTTTTGTTAACAACGTCCTAGTTCATTAGCAGGTTATTTCCAGCCCTTATTCCAAAGGCCCCTTCGTATTGGTGGAAGGCAGTCCATCAAGCCCATACTGGCTGCACCTATTTACCCAAATCGTTTGCGAAACTAGACTCCAGCTGGCAGGGGGACAATTCCCCGAGGCCTCTCTTCCCAGCGGAGACTTGAATAAGTGACGTTATTGATTTTACATCCTCGGAGCTGGTTAGGTTACAGACAGCGGGCTGGAGGAGGGGGGGGTCTGGTTCATGAATGTGTTTGAGATGCTCCCGGTAGTGGCGGTGGCCCAGGGTTTGTTCTAGACTCGCCTGGAGGTCAGATGGTGACCCTGTGTGTGCTGGGATGAGGGGGGAAGGCAGAGTGAACTGCTGTACCTCCCTCTTCCTCCTCGCGGCGCTCTGTATTCAGACTGCCGACGGAAAGGAGCCGCCGCCCCCTTGTGGCCAAAAGCGGTAAGGCAGCAGCATTTTGCTGGTTGGGAACTAAAATCAGCCCTTCATCATCTCTAACAGGCCCTGTCTGGAGTGTGCAGCTGCAGAAGGAGTGCAGCTGTTTTCCCCCTACACAGTATTTGTGCAATAATTCCAGAATTAGGGAGGATCAGATGCTTTCCTCATGAGCAGGAACCTTGCGTGTTGCACCAGGCCGCGAGAAACAGGTGCCCCCAGCTCATGCCCCTCTCCGCCCACAGCAAATGGACAACGCGGTGTACACCTTCGAGCAGCTGCTGCACCAGAGCCTGGAGGGCCAGGGCAGCGAGGAGCTCTGCAAGATCATCCAGCGCTGCCAGGACCGGGTCATCAAGGTGAGGGCGGGGCCGGAGGGGGTGAAGTTCAAAGTTCAAAGTTCAAATGGCTGGGGGTCGTGCAGAGGGGCTGCTGTCCTGGGGGGTGGTGGTGGGGGGGGGACAGTGTTGCGTGTCCGGCTGCAGGTCGAGAAAGAAGTGACATGAGTGGGCGGGAGGCGTAGTGGGGCTGGCCGAGGGAGGTGATGAGCACTCCAACTGCAGGTATTTAAGGCAATTGTGAATGCTGGTCTTGGCCTTTTTTTTATAAATGCTAATCGCATCACTCTCCCCCTCCCCTGCCCTGCCCTCCCCTCCGCTCTGCAGAAGTACGACTACGACAGCAGCACCGTGCGGAAGAAGTTCTTCAGGGAGGCCCTCCTGCAGATCATCATCCCCTACATGCTGAAGCAGCTCTCCCCGACCTGCAAGGAGGTAGGACTGATGCACGCTGAGTGAGAGGGAACACCTGCAGACCAAAGCAATTTCAGCTTGCCGGCTTTGGGAAAGAGTTTGATACCTTGAAAAAGAGCCTACAGCTCTACCACCCCCCACCACCCTGCTGGGGCGTTCGTCCCGTGTCCTGACGCACAATCCCCCCCCTCCCCTGTCCTCCCCTGCAGGAGCTGCCTCAGTTCCAGGAGCTGATCTTCGAGGACTTCTCCCGGTTCATCCTGGTGGAGAACGTCTTCGAGGAGGTGGTGCTGCAGTCCGTCATGAAGGACATCATGCAGGGTGAGTTGGCGGCTCCGCGGCCAGCCGCAGGGCACGAGAGGGGCGATGAGGAAGAAGAGCGTTTAAAATCAAGAACAGGAGACAAAAGGCCTGGGAGTCTGGAACAGCCTCCTCTCATCTGGAGCGGTTTGATCAGTTTCAGATTGTGGGAGGCTACTGTACCGTACAGAAGCCTTTTCCGGTCACTGGTTACTGAAACCCAGTCTGTAATACATTTGCATAAAAAAAGCACAGCGAAGTTAAGAGTAAAAAACCCCTTGAAGGGACAGACCTGTGATGGCATCGGAGCCTCACCAGTCTCCCCAAGTCAGTGACGTCGTCGGCTGTAACTGTACTCTCTCTCTCTCTCTCTCTCTCTGCAGCGGTGAAGGAAGCCGCCGTTCAGAGGAGACACAACCTGTACCGCGACAGCATCGTCCTGACCAACAGCGACCCCAACCTGCTCCTGCTGGGAGAGGGGCCGCCCATCAACTGGGGGGGCGACGTGGGCGACGGCGAGGGCGGCGGTGGCGGCGGCGAGCCCACGAAGAGGCGGCGCATTAAGCAGGTGGTGTCCATGATCCAGGTGGACGGCACGCTGGTGGTGCCCAACGAGTCGTGCCTGGAGGTGCCGGGCGTGGGCGGCATCCCGGAGGACCAGGAGGGAGAGGCGGAGAACACCAGCACAGGCGGGGATGCGGAGTCGCTCAAGTCCCCCGACAGCATCCACGAAATCAGGGACCTCATCACCCCCAAGGTCGAAGTGCAGGTGTCCCTCCCCACTGCGGACGCGCCCCTCACCAACGGCACAGTCCCGCAGGAAGCGAGCGTCACGGATGTGACCTCCCAGGAAGCTGACAAGGCTGCGGTGCCCGCAGAGAGGGGCGCACAGGAAGCTGCCAAGAGTGAACCACGCACAGAGGAGGGGACACAGGAAATGGTCAAGAGTGAACCACGCATCGAGAGGGGTGCGCAGGAAGCTGCCGAGAGCAAACCACACACGGGGAGGGATGCACAGGAAGTTCAGGAAAGTCAGCCACACATCGAGAGGGGGACACAGGAAAACGCAAAGAGTACGCCGTCCACAGCAGAGGCCACACAGCAAGCCGCTGAGACCAGACTACCCAGTAACAAACAAGAGGAACCATTAAAAGAGGAGCTTGCAGCAGAGCACACCAAAAACTCCCCCGTGAAGTTGGCGCCACCCTTGCCCGTTGATTCTGACTCCTCCCACCATCACCATGACGACAGTGGATTCCAGTCCCCAGCCAATGAGGACGTAGAGGAGGATCAGGTTCAGCCAATCACCAAAGGCCAAGAGGAGGTGGGAGACACCATCGCTGACCCAGCCAAGGTTGAAGTGACTTTGGAGGAGAAGGAAGTGGATCCTTCCAATGACTTGGAGACAGGAGAGGAGGTTTCTGGGAAAGAGAGTCCCTCAGAGTCCATAGTGCCGGCTGGAAATTAGATGTTTACAATAAGAATAAAGCAGGAAAAATGATCTAAACACAGAAACGGGAATTAAATACTTGTTTTTGTTTTAGGCAAAGGAGAAAAAATATTTTTAAAGTAATTTTTATTAAGAGCAAAGTTTAAAAATTATTCATTGTTATTTTTTTTTTGGTTCCTTTTTACTTCTTCCATTGCTTAGATTGAGTAGTTGTCATATATATCAGCCCATGTCGACACTTCGATCAGACCCGAGAGAGCACGTTGTCGATTAACCCTGCCTCCCCCAACCTCAGCCTCGACACTAAAACCAGAATGAATCCTGAGCAGCTGAGCCCAGAACACGGTCCGCCTCGGACTCGGCCCGAAGATCGGCGAGGAGCTGCGCTCTTCCATCTGGACCCCAGCCTGCGGCTCCTCTGGGGCCAGACCGGCCCCCAGCCCCGCGCGATGGTGCTGCTGAACACCTGCCCCCCTGCGCTTGGACTGTCGTCTCTGTGCTGGATTCCTACAGGCTCTTAGAAAGGGGGGCCCCGGTTCTGCAGGGGAGGGTGGAGAGCCGTCGTCTTTCATCGAACGAGGCCCGGTTTATTTTTGTTGTTGCAAACCCGCCCGGTTCAGAGCCGTCAGCGGTCTCAGCTCTCGCCAGCAGCCCCCGACCCTGCTGGGCTGGAGTGGGGTGGAGGAGGAGAGACAGTGCAGATGACAACCGTTAATTGACCTAATTTAGCAATTAAGAGCTCCGTCATGACTCTGCGCTGTTTTGGGGCTACTTGTGATTTTTTTTTTGGGGGGGGAGGGGCTGTCCCCTCTCTCAACTGTTGTGTGCCCCTGCATCACCTCCCACACAGGACGAGGAGAGAGCGCCCCCCTACTTCCACTCCCTTGGAACAAAACCAAAGGGGCTTCTGAGACGATCGACAGAAGAGGGGGAAAAGAGGAAAAACGTGTTTTTGAGTTTGCCGTTCTGAAACGTGGGAGCTGGGAGCCATCGGCGGACATGAGGAAGAGGCCAGGACTGAGACAGGAAAGCCTGCCCTCTGCCCTCTTCGCTCGTGCAGCCCCTGTCCACAGCCCGGCCCGGCCCGGCCCAGACGAGCAGCTCACATCCCTGCAGGAGGAGCCCTGTAGCGGTTCTGGGTGCGCTCTGACTGACGGTCTCGTTCTGGCGATGCTGATTCTTCATCGGTGCAGCTGGAGCTGTATTGCACGTGTGCGTGCGTGCTTTCGTGCACGTGTGTGTTTTTGTGGGGGGGGGGTGATCTCAAGGTTTTCCTTGCAGCCAGAGACTAAAGAAAAAAAAAACCCTGAAAAAAATGATTTTGCTGCTCCGAAAGGGGGGACCCAGAAGCCGAAGAGAAATGAGCAGTAGGTGGGAGGGAGGGGAGAGGCACTATAGAGATGTGAGATTCTGGGATCTGGACTTTCCAACACCACGCCTCGCTGGGTGAAAGAGGAACTGACAGCCCTCTGATGCTCCGGCGCAGCCTCGTTCCCCGTTCCGCTTTGGATCGTGGGAGTTTGTGAGGCACAGCCTGGGAGCCCAGATCTCATGGACTTCGTTTTGCACGAGCAGCAGGGACGGCGTGTTCTCCCTGCCGGAGCCTGGTGGAGCCCGGCACTAGTGACAGCTGCTGCTCCTCGGGCCTTGTAGTGGCCAGTCAGAGGCTGCTGACACACTCGCTGGCTGGGCTGCTTGCTGCTTCAGTCTTATCCAGTTATTCTCGCCCGCTGCAGGTCAAGCAGAGCACTCCGCCATCCGTCGGTAGGGCTGTGAAATGCTGTTCCTGTTCCAGCAGACTGCATTACAGCGGGGGATCCCCCATCTTGGTCCCGGGAACCCCGGACCCTGCTGGGTTTCACACCCATCAGGCTCTTTGTGATCTGGTTGAACTCTTAAGGGACGCTTAAGACTCATTTTTGATATTAACAGCTGGGGCTTGCTTTTTGATTTACTGCAAGATCTCTGACCTCTGAGGAGGAGGAGAAAACTGGCGAAGGATTCAACTAAGTGAGAAGGCTGGAACCAAAACCAGCAGGTGTGGGGCTCCCCAAGACCAGGGCTGGGTGGGGCCCCCTCCATCTTTGAGCGTAGCTCTGGTGAGATGCCAAGAATCAGCTGTGCTTCACAGTGGCTGCACGGTTTACTGCAATGGGCGAGAAACGCATTCCTGTTACCAGATTTGCATGCTGCCTTGGATGGAAAAGGATATCCGCGCCATTATTTCTGATATCATAGTTTCTCGCTTTGTCAGGGAGACTGCGCATTTGAATTTTCTGCTGGGGCTGAAGGAAAAAAAAAACTCTGGAAGGCTTTGTGTGAGAAGAGTGTACATTGCCTGGTTCGGCGTGTAGAGAGGCCTGGTCTGCTGTGCTCTTGAGACACGCGAGACTGTTCGAGGAGGTGTGACACGGAGCCGGCTGAAGCGAGATACCGCAGGTGAACACTAGAGGGAGTGAAAAAAAAAGTCAGTGCTGGGTGATGGAGCCGCCCGGCTTCAGAAATAGGATTGGATTGAGACACATATACTTGCAAAGGGAACAGAGTTGGGATTGGTGAGATTATTTTTTTTTTTTTTGGCATAGGTATAGAATATGCAGTTACGTAAACACCGTTTATAGTTTGTAGATTTGCCAGACGGGTGTGACCGCTCTCGGTATAACTTCATCCTAAATCTGGCCGGAGGGGGCTGCCCTCCAGCCGCTGCGGAGGACGGGACTGGTTAGGAGCTCTGTACTACGTGTGGAGCGGTCAGGCTTGAGTATATTATTCAGTAGTTCTTTTTCCCCCCCACACACAGAATTTGCTTCTGCTTCCTTAACTCTATAACACTTGTTATTTATTCAGGACCGCTCTTGTAATGACCGATTTCCCTGTAATAAAAATGTTTCTCAGAAATGCAAATCTACTGAGGCGCAGGCGGTAGAGAAATATGTTGTTTGGTTGTTGTTGTTGTTGTTGTTTTAATGGATTGGGAACTTGGTGCCACCTCTCACGCGGACACAGTTGCAAACTGAAAGCACTTGCAGGGGCGCCAGGGGGTGGCGACGTCTTTTTAAAAGGTTCCGGGCTGTCGAGAGCCTCCTTTCCCGGTGTTGGCACAGGAGAGAAGCTCCTTTTCCTTCGGCTTCTCTGGGGGGGCACCCCCGGGGCCTCCTGCGGTGCAGAACTGTCTGTTTTGTGTGCATTTCGGGACGTCCCGCCACGCTCACTCACTTTACGCCCTAAAGGCGTCATTCCAGGCTGCGGGGTGTTTTACCTTTTTTGTTTTTTCGTCTGTTCTGTTCACGATTTCTCTACCAAATGTTTTATGAAATGTCATGCAGATATACCTATAATAAACGAGTTGAAAACGATGTGAGGCTACTGTGTTGCGCCCGCTGGGTGGTTTGGGGAAGAGGGTATCGGAAGGAATTCACCTTCACAGGCCGGTGCTCTGACATACTTTAGCCCGTTACACACAGAACTCCGAAAAAGTCATTTTATTTGATGTCTCATTACAAAACGCGCTGCCTTGGCGATCATATATCATTTCCAAAACAGTGTAGATCTGTACATTATTGCTGTGTGGGTCAAACTTGCATTAGCGGAACGGCATGTGGGGTGCGTCTTCAAAACCGCCTCTCCCAGACGATCGGTTCAAGTACTGGGGCACCTCTACAGCTTTGGCTTGGCATCCGCCTTGTTGACGTGCATTTAAATTCGTAGACCAGTTGGGCCGCAGAGCGTCTCTGCCGGGACACTGGGATACGATTTGGTTACTATATTACGATAATCTCCTAGAAAAGCTTTTCCCCTCGTCTCTTTAGCCCTATCTTTTAGGATCACAGAGAGAGAAGAAACATTTTCCAGGACCATGTGGCAGAGTGCTGGCCGATTCCACCCCATCCCTTTCTGAATTGGCTTGATTAGTGAACAGCAGAGGGAGTTTATGCCTCAGATTGGGGGGGGGGGACATCTACCAACCAGAGAGCCTGGACACTTTCTACAACCAGGCCCTTGGGTTACAGATAGTTTTTGATCACTAGATGCTGCCAGTCCAGTTTGTGTCTGAGAGGGAGACTGGACTTCTCAGTAACCCCTAGACATTTAAACAGCTGCTCAAAGATTAGCTCATGGCCAACATCCCACATCCCATCCCCCTGAAAGCGTTTTAAAGGCTTGCATCATTTATATATTGCACTTAATACATTTGATCACATTTTCTTAGAATAAATAAATTGGGAGTTTTACTGATGGGGGGAATCTGAAAGGCACATAGTTCCAACCCAGAAGTTACAGTAAGGCTTTAAACTGAAAGGTTGCAGGTTTGAATCCCAAAAAAAGTGCTTCTGCAGGAACATCCAGATGTAAAAGTAGGTACAAGGGTGAGATGCGTTTGATAAAAGCATGAGCTAAACTCTTGTGTAACCAGGACTGAACCAGCTCCTTGCCGTCTTTAAAACTATTCATGTCAATTTGTCTTGCAAATGAGGCACGGGCTCACTTTCAAAAGAAACCTTGTTAAACTGTAACCATTTATACCGTACAACCAGGAAGATGAGCCTTAAAACGTTTCATCCCGATCCAAGCAGAAGGATAACAACCGTGTTTTGATGTATAACCGGGTGCTGCAAGGGGCCAACAGAATAGGTTAGTCCAAACTGGTCCGTTTCAGCGTCTGCTTCTCAAAAGGTTGGGCCTCCTGCAGTGACCCCGGCTCTGTGGTTGCGCACCGTTCTTGTCCGGCTCTTGCCTCAACACGCAGGGTAGAAGACAGACAGACCTGTGGTCAGCAGAGGGCGGGACAGCGGCGAGTCATCGCCCTTGAGAGGGGAATTACAGCTCTGCTCATGTCTCGTCTGGCATGACTCACGGAGCGCAGGCACCTGCAGGGGAAGGTGCTTGCAGACGCTTGGACCTGGAATATTCGGCAGGGACACAGATCTGCACTTCTGGAGCTGGAGCAGCTCTTTGCTGTGCAGGGTTAGGTACAGTAGTTTGATGCACCCGTTTACAATTGGAGCACAGAGTCTTTAAAAGGGGGGCGGGGGCGGTTCAGACACGCCGATGCACGTACGCAAATCTTGTTTGGTCTGGTTGAGATCGGCACAGGTCGCTGTGCAGAACCGTTCAAAAACGGGCCCATCGGGCTTGAGGCACTGCACAAGACGCACCCAGAGTCCCTGACAGAAAAGCACAAAGCTTTTGGCCAGCGGCTCTGCAGGCCATCAGTGCCGAAAAAATCGCACACCCTCGCAGAGGAGCGTGAAAGTAACCGAAGCAGAGCCCTGTTCAGCCGAGACCGCTTGAAAATGCCGACTTCCAGCCAGCCTGGAGGTCTTTCAGCAGAAGACTTTGCTCGCGTGAGGGGAGAGGGGGCGTCTCTCGTCCTCTCCTGCTTCAGGGCCGGCGCAGGAAGGGAAAGGCCAGGAAGTACCCGAGCCCAGAGCCGACGATGACGCCCAGGAAGATCCAGACGTTGTAGGACATCACGCACAGCATCAGCATGTAACCGAGGGTCACCTGGACAACGTGGACGGCTGCCTGCACCACATACAGCAGAATCCACCTGCCAGACACACAAGACACGCCCCTCGTCAGGGATTGCTGCCATGCCATTGGCTTGTCTTTCCCACCTGAAACCACACCCACCCTCACTAGTTACCACCATCCTATTGGACAGCCCCACCCAAAACCACACCCATTTTAAGGATTTGTAATCCCTTATTGGACAATTCTGTTCAAAGGCCACCCCCTTGGCTCCTCATAATTCTTATGTGGTGGTCCGGCACAAAGCCGCCACGTCACACGAGGTTAATAGTTTGGCACGTTCAGGCCAGTACCTGTTCCTGGAGCCTTCTGGGGGAGTGGGAGGCAGCGAGCTCTCCGAGGCCGTGCTCGTCAGGGTGGCCTGACTGCCCTGGTGCTCGGCGGGGGGTGGGGGGCGGGACCTCTCGCTGAGCCAAATCTTCCCCACCTTCAGCAGCTCGTAGAACACCGTGAGCAGCAGAACCACGAAGACGGACAGGACCATTCCTGCAGGCGCACATAACACAGCGGCCCCCCCCAGACCCAGAATTACTTAAAGGCAAGCAAAGAATTCATCAGCTAATTCGTGCCCCCCCCATGCGGACTCACACCCTCTTGCGAGCTCGATTCGCTTAAGAGCTCCATAGAAGAAACGTGACAGGAGGCGGAGATGAAGATTAACACGAAAAAACACGAGTAGTCACACGAGTTGCACAGGTGCAAAACACATTTCGGCCCCCCCCCTCCCCTGCCGTTTCCTCCCAGCGATCCCAGCTGGGTCACAGCGCAGCGAGTAACGGGTTCGAGCCGCTTCTCCAACCCCCGCAGACCCCAGCCGGCCAGCCCGTGGGAACCCCCTCTCTCGCTTTAGTGCGGAACCACAACTATCGGTGATCACGCCCCGCCGTTGTGCAAGGGCCCCCGCCGCTGACTCGGCCCAGCCTCCGCCTTCTTGATAAGGGGGCAGGGGGGGTTCTCGTAGTCCTCCAGCCACAAGCCCCGGGCTCTCCGGGGGGGGGGCGGGTAGTTAAGATCTGAGATCTGTGTCTCAGCAGAGTGAGGGGGAAGTCAAGTCCAAACTGTGCCGTGATGCTGCAATAAGGCCTCTTCATGTGACCTCCGTCCTACTTAAACAGATGCGTGATGCTTCTCATGACCAGCCTCGCCCCTTAATTAAGAGCAATATTTCCCCTCTTCCTACTTCCTACTAAGATCACTTCATTAGCCCTATACAATTTCTCACATTAGGCATGTGTCTCTTCGCAGACCCCAGCTTGCTCTCCATGAGACACACAGACAGGGAGAGAAGCTGGGGGTCAGAGCGCAGGGTCAGCTGTTTATACAGCGCCCCTGGAGCAGCTGGGGTGAAGGGCCTTGCTCAGGGGCCCAACAGAGTAGGATTCCTCTGCCAGGCCGCGGGATTTGAACCGGCAACCTTCCA